GGCTTCCCACCATTAGAGGTGGCTTTGGCCGCCTCCCAGCCACCTATTTCTCAACTTGAGGCTAATATTCCTTCAGATCTGATGGTTACAGAAGCTGTCGTTGTAGGGGATAGTCCTACCATCCCAATCATGAGAACAGCTAAAGAAGCCGGTACTTCGACGACTGTCATACCTATCACCATTCTAGCGATTCCCGATGTTAGGTCGGTAGGGTCAAGCATGGGACGCCAAGCTGAAGGGTCCTCTGCTGGCATTAGTAAATTTTGCTTTATAACTTGCTTTGAGTTTCCAGCCGATATTTCAAAACGTAATATTTCTCCTTTCTTTTTGCAGAGCTTCCCACATCTCCATATGAGCTTGTCATTGCTTTGCTAAGAGATACTGATCCAAGCAAGGAGATTTTTGGTGTGGATCTCGATCATTTCGTTTCTTTTGTGAGCGGAATAATTGAGAAGATCCTTGATCGAGGGTATTCTTTCAATATGTTCAGGCAGTCTCTTGATCGTCATATGATGATGCTCAGGGAGGAAGGATATCCAGATTTGGCTGAATTTCTCACCGTAGACTTAGCTACGCTAGAGCGTAAGTTTCGAGAGCTGGGAGAGCTACAGGCTACCTGTGCTTCTTCATATGTTGCTACTCGGTTGGAGTCCCAACTAAAGTAGTAGCGTGACACCCGTATATCCCTTGGGGACGAGCTTCAGACGTATGAGAGTTATATCATGCAGATGATAGCGGTTCTCTCAAGGAAAGACAAGAACATGGCTGAATTGTTTAGCTCTTTGGTCTTGATCGACGAGAAAATTTCTGACCTTGAGAAGACCCTGAAACATGCTAAAGATTCTCATGTCATTCTCGTGGGCAAATTACCCGATGCAGAAGACTATCGAAGACAGGTACTAGAGAAGTTAGAGCCTGTAAAGGAAAAGCTGGCCAAGCTGAAAAACGAAGCTTCAAGTGTATTGGACGCTACTGAAGATTTTGTCTGGGCTGAGTTGCAGACTAAGCTTGAGGACTCTTGTGAGAAGGAGATCTCTATGTTGGAAATTCAAAATCATGGCCATAAGATGTTTTGGATTTGTAGCGCCACATTTGTATCTTTTGATTTGGCTTCATTATGAAAACAAAGTCTTTTGTTTAGCATATGTCTTTTATTATGATTTTTATTCCATCTGGAACAAACAATCACAATACTTATAGGATATTTGGCAAACCCTCAACCTTCAACGTATTTAATTTGCCTTTGCCGATTACCGTTCGAATCGGGCAAGTATGTAAATTGTCTGAGTTCATTTCACATGTAACGTTGTGCTAAGAGAGTTAACTCTCTTAGTGCTACGATATTGAATACATAGACTTCACCATTGTTACAAGAATAGGCTACCTGGTAACGCGTGTTTGGCGTAGACTTAGGGTTTTTGGCTAACCCCCAGCCCTCAACAGATTTGATTTGTCTTTACTGATTACCATTTGAATCCAGCTTGCATGTAAATTATCTAAGTTTGTTTTACATGTAATGTTGTGCTAAGAGAGTTAACTTTCTTAGTGCTACGATATTAAATGCGTAGACATCACCATTGTTACGGGAATAGGCTACCCGGTAGCATGTGTCAGATGCAGGCTTATCTATATTTAGAGATCGAGATAAAGTCCCCCAGAATAAATTCTAGTGTCTTTTTCACGGTAAAAGACTAATCGGCAACGCGTGTTAGGCGTAGACTTATCTCTATTTAGGGATCGAGATAATGTCCCCCAGAATGAATTCTAGTGTTTTTTTCGCTGTGGAAAAATAACCGACAACACGTGTTAAGCGTAGGCTTATCTCTAATTAAGGATCGAGATAAAGTCCCCCAGAATGAATTATGGTATCTTTTTATGGCGAAAACTAACCAGCAACGCGTGTTAGACATAGACTTATCTCTATCTAGGGATCGAGATAACATCCTCCAGAATGAATTCTGGTGTTTTTTCGTGGTGAAAGACTAACTAGTAACGCGTATTAGGTGTAGACTTATCTCTAATTAGGGATTGAGATAAAGTCCCCCAAAATGAATTCTAGTGTCTTTTTTATGGCGAAAGACTAACCGACAATGCGTGTTAGGCGTAGACTTATCTCTGTTTAGGAGTCGAGATAAAGATCTCCATGCATGTGAGGCATGGATTTGTGCTGTTGAGTGATTGTGTCTTCTCTTGGGGCAAAGACGAAGCCGATACTGGAGAGGAAGAATTATATATTCTATTTTCAGGTCTTCTTTTGGGGTAAAGACAAACCCGATACTAGAGAGGAAGAATTTTATATTCTATCCACAGGTCTTCTTTTGGGGTAAAGACAAAGTTGGTGTTGGAGAGGAAAAATTTTATATTCCATCTCATGTTGCAAAAGAAACTCAAAGTGGGATCTCCACTTTGAGGATCTGGAAGGTGAAACTAAGAGTGAGATCTCCACTCTGAGAATCGAAATGATCTAGATAACTCTAACTTTTATAGGATTTGTTACCTGATTTGAAAATAAATTTATCATTTATCAAGATGGAATTCCGACTTCGGCCCTAACTTTTATAGGTTTAACTGAAGGAAAGAGTGGAAGCCTTTCGTTTATCGAAAAGGAGTTCCGATTATGGTCCTAACCATTTAATGGTTTGACCAGGTAGGGGTTATTGAGACGATCCTAACTTTTATAGGTTTGATCATTCAACTGGGGGTGGAGGCCTTTCATTTATCGAAAGGGAAGTCTATTTTTTTAAAAGTGGACCTCTCATTCATGGAAGGAATCGAGAGGAGATTTTGACTTTTCTCCTAACTATAGGAAGGTTTGACCAAACGAGTAGTGGGAGTGGGGTACAAATAACAGTGGGAATGTTGATTTGTACAAAACATTCATTGGGGGTTTTCAGTGTCAAGCGACAAAGACTTAACATGAAAGGGGTTTGCTAATTGCCATGCATCAGCAGCTTGAACTTTTGAGTACCGTGTTAGTACTTTAACATTGGGAGTGTTAAGTGCACAAACACAGTGAGATTTTGGATGGACTTAGCCGAAAGAATTTTATAGACCCACTTTCAGTTAATTTGATCAGTGAGAGACTTTGTGATGGAG